CACTCCAGGGATACAGAGGAGCTGTGTCTGTACTCATGTTAGAGTCGGTAGCAAAGGCTTCCATGTTAGGAACGGCCTCAAATTACAGGCAAAGTCAGACTTTCACCAAAGTGTGCCTGGATCATGGTGCCATGATCAACAGAAGCTGCACCCCTATACCCCATTCCATGAGATCATAAACTCATGGAATTCGTGTAATCTTTACACAAGGGGATAAGAAACAACAACAAGTTTTGTATCAATTTTTTCTGTAGAGGGACGTTATCCCGAAAGCTCGAAAAAAGTTTAATAAAAGATACTCATCCTTGGACGTATATACTTCGAATATTTAACATTTTAAAAATAAATAGTAAGCGGCGTTTCATAATCGTATACGATCGTATCCGATACCATTGACCTTTACCTCAGCCTGAAGTCAGATAACTTCACATAATGTGACTTAGGACTGTGTGTTGTGTGTTGATACCGTACAAGACCTCTAGAACTTATGATCAAAGATGTCTCTAAATTTGAGTTACTGATGGAGGCTATAAAGAGGTATTCTGCCCTTTGTTGATAATGATTATCATCTTCTTAGCTTAACGGTCCATCAATGGATGTATAGGCGTGTTATTTGAGTGTATATTTGAATTGTCACCATAGTCTTGGCTTCTATTAACTATAAACCATTTATTTTTCAATATAAAACCTTTAAAATATCTGAAAGATTTGACATTTTTGCCGAGATATATACACTCATGGACAAAACTTAAGAAGTTGTACCTTTTAGCATGTATATCGGAATTCAGACACATACAAGAATTCTAAAATATATTTGATACATAATGATTTTTATTAAAGATATACGAGATAACTAAGTTTGAACAAAATTACCTGTGTCTCCATAATAATAAAAAAAGAAGACTGGCTATATTAAAGACTTTATACTTCCTTACGTTTTGTCTCCATGAGAGTAATTATATTTTGAATGCTCAATGCTAGAGGGCCGGCTTGCAGGGGCTCCATATGTAGGGCATTTCTCCCCGCAGTCTCTCACGACCTTTCTATCTGGACTAGATAGATTGACGCTACAATTATCCCCCGTAATAGAAACCCCAGTAACATCTGATATGGGATTGATTATATATAACACCTGACTCATTTTTTCTTTATGGAATATATTCTTTATTGATTTAGAATCTCTCTCTCTCTCTTCCACTTGAAGTACAACGAGATCAGGACTTCAATAACTTTTTCTTAATTAAAAATACAATATGTCCACTTTTTGTTTGTTTGTTAAAATGAAGAATTTTGAATATCATCATAAAATTAGCGCTCTGTATCGCTAAAAATTAGAAATATATATTATTTACTGTACTCAATAGGAAATGTAGGGTTTAAGTGATTCGGTTTTTTACATTAGTGAAGCGGTCTGTAGATTTGAATGGTGAAACGCTGCGAGTAATGGGCCATGCACTCCCTCTTTCAATTTTCAATCATTGCAGAATAAGAGGGCTATAGAAATAGGTTTTATTTACATATATTTAAAAAATACCAGAGTCAACAGCCAGAAAAGCGTACGTGGGTTGGCTTTTCCTTATTTATCAAGAAATTAGGTTGGCCAAATATCACGGAACAAGTTAAATCAACGTTTAGTTTATTTTTGTTCCACTAGATGGCGCTCTGCGAACTAAAATAGTCACGTGAACGGTCAAGATATGCCTTTTTTATTTATAATATATAATATGAAAAAGGCATCTCCTTATCGTGCAACTGAAAGTTGCTGATGGCTTGCGCCATCTATCGGAATAAATATCAACTATTCTCGTTGATTTTTAATTATTCCAGAATTGGCCAAATGCCCATTCTTGATTAATCAAGAAAAGCTAACCACGGACGCGTGTCGGGATTTTTTTCTTCTTGATTAATCAAGAATGGGTATTTGGCCAATTCTGGAATAATTAAAAATCAACGAAAATAGTTTATATTTATTCCGATAGATGGCGCAAGCCATCAGCAACTTTCAGTTCCACGATAAGACGATGCCTTTTTCATAGTTTATGCACCTTATCCCAGTACAATATCACATTTGTACTATTTTTTTCTCAATATATAATATAAAAAATATATATATAGACTTATAACTTGTGCAATGAAGAAACTTGTTTCTTTGGACTGGAGTGCAATTAAACCTGCAAAGCTAATAGGTGGTGGAGACTTATTTCTTTTGTGAGAATTATTTTTGATAATTGTTTTATCTTTATGATAATGTAGAATATTGAAGTTCTGATAACATTCTGAAATTTTATAGAATAATTGGAGGCTTTTAGGAATATTTATAGGAACATGGTGACTCATTTCAGTATAAGGCTCATCACGCTCTATATCTACTTCTTTGTAGTTTTAAAACACTGTGTTGATTACCATCCTTTTGTAGGTTGGAACGCGACCATGTTTATTAAAACGAAATATTATAAGATTATATAAAAGGGCGTACCTGGATCTGTAAAGAAAAAAAAAACATTTTTTTTCTTAAAATATTTCGAGAGATTGCTACCTCTTTATCAATTTATTGCACAGTGAATTTAATTTACAAATTATTGTAGATCGCATGAAAACAAATTTTTCATTGAATAGCCTTTTGACTCAAACGGAATATTATATGTTACTTTCTATTTTTTTTTATTTCAAAACAAAATATATCATCAGAATAGAAATATGATTCTATGTTTTCAACATGTTTCATCATCCTAAGAAACTTCAAGCAGGATATTAACACATAAACGTGTATATAATTAATACATAGAAATAACGCACCATCTATATAATACAAGTGAAAACACCAAAATGCTTAAATAACATTCCTAATATTCCACCCTTCAGTGTTGCATTTAAAGCAAAATGATCCAATATAGTATTAGAGCTCTAAAGAAGCGGTCTGGTGGATTAAATTGGACGAAACCGCTGTGAGAGTTCACCACCGATAGCTAAGCCCTCCCAATATATTTTTTTCATCGCAGTAAGGGTAGTAGAAGTTTGATTTATTTGTGAAAAGAAACATTCGCGTTTTGGTGTTTTCATTTGTAGTGTATACAATTTTATATTGTTTTTGCAGAGAGAGAGATAATTATAAATACTCTACACACGCACTACTAATACACATAGTGTATATATGCAATTTAAACATATTTCACCATTCTCTTTGAATGGGAATCTGAAGAGCAAAACCTTTACATAATCAACGGAGTAAGTTGTTCCATCCATGAAGCAACAGCCCTAAGACCATTGACAAGATGTTCCATTAGAGCCATGAAATACGACGACAAAAAAGCGATGTTACGCTCCTCAGTAAAAACACGAATCTCTTCCTGAACGTAATCTGCCAAACCGCAAGGCTTATTAATTTTTTACTGCTTGCCGCTCACAAAAAGGTGCTCTATTTTGCTAATGATGCTGAAATGGTTATAGATATTTCGAAGTCATCTCGACGTCTGCACGAAGTCAACTCTTCCTCGTGCGGGCGTATTTTTACACCGCTTTTCTACGGCGAGGTAAACACTTGAAAGACCCAATTTCCCCATTTTTCACTTTTACTCTACTTTCCTTTGGACGGGGTAATTGAATAATGGCGTTTGGGCGCTATTGACCTTTGTCTATTTGAGGAGTTAAGTTCTGCTACACTAGCTAACGTAGTGTTTGGGATATACCAGGTCTTTGAGAGAACTGTGCACCTCTTTTTATTATTTTTAAAAACTTTTTGTTGACTAGGAATATTATTGTAGCTATAAGAAGATCTCATATATGAAACTAAATTCGAAATACAGTTATACCTGTCTATAGCGCCCCCTCTTGGAAATCACCAAAATAGAGTGCTATAGAGAAGAATGATATAGACTGATCACTTTTAATGTAAAATGTTTACATTTTTATTTTTTAAAAATCGGATGCTATAGAGAGGAAGGCGCTATTTAGAGGGGGGCGCTATAGACAAGTTTAAATGTATATATTTAAATTGTACCAAAAGTTCCACATCTCCCTTTTAAAATGAATTTAAACACAACACACACCACACACAAAAACCTATATTAAGACACACAGGTCTTACAGAGGATTCTCCTTGGGGTTACAAGACGGAGAAACCCATGAAAGTGGGAAATATACAAAGGGGTAAAAATGGAGAAAGATTAAATGAATTTAAACAATGAATTTGCTTTATTATATATATACACCGATAAAAAACGTAATGATGGTGATAAATGAGTCACAACAACCAGTTTTGGCAAATTTAGACAAACATTTTGACATCACGCGGCGTTTTATTCATTGTATATGTTTTCCTGTCGAAGGGGAGAGATACCTGAAAGCTTGAGATGGTTTTAAAATAGAAATAAATTCATATTCGTAAAACTTTTTAATTGTTTAATTAATGTAGAAATTTGATTCAATTGATAAGAACGTTATGTTTCAGCAAAATCCAAAGAATCATTCTCAATTTCGAACACCAACCTCCGTCCCGGTGGAACGGACAAGCTAATCCCATCTGATCATCTCTCCTCGCCTTTCTCCATCCATAGAATGACGCCATTTCAATTTGAGCAAGGTGTGACAAGCGTCCTAATGGCCTGTCCATTTAATAGAACACATTAATAACTATTATGTAAGATTAGACAGAATGGTAATTCCATATGGCCTTCCACTTGATTACATGTGTGAGAGCAGCTTGTTGTACGACCTATTATGACGTGGTGGGTATCTCCATGTCAGCCTTCTGGCTTGTTCATTCTACATACGATTGGAAAACTCTTCTTCTTTCAATACCATCCACTATTTCACGTATAACCTCGAAATCATTTAGCTACTAGCGGATGTACCCGGCTTCGCCCGGTTTTTACCCGAGTAAAGGTTTGTCTAACGAACATTTGTTAAAACAATTCTAGAAAACATCCAATACCTACTGAATCTATACTTGGCAAGATAACTTTATAATAATATAAATGTGTTTCAAAAATTGTAAAAAAAAAAGGCATTGCTGGGAATCGAACCCGGGCCGCCCGCGTGGCAGGCGAGCATTCTACCACTGAACCACCGATGCTTATAAGAAATGGCCATATATCGGTATTTATTCCATTCACAAAAGCAAACGATGACAGAATTGATTGTTGATGACTCTGATACTTGTATATATTAATTCTTATGGGAAGATACAGTGCTGAGAAGTCCGTGCAAAGAAGTGACCTCTCATACCTCAACTAATCAGAGCTCATATTTTATCCTTCTGTCTTTATCTGCATAACACCTTATTAATATTCATTAACACTCAATCATATAAATAAAGGTTTTGAAAATAGAGCAATCCATAAATAAATCATTAAATAATCTATTGACGTTATGTGGCGCTGAGTTTGTTGTTGACACACTTTAAAATGTTATAATACCTTGATAAAGGTTGGCGTTCAGCCAACTGAAATATTGGTAAAATAAATGATATTTTTATCTAATATATGCCTTTTTATTTAAATAAATAAAGCCAAGCCCTCTCATTCAATAACTCATATCATTGCAGTAAGGTCTGTAGAGATAATATTTGATGATATTTAAAAGAAACGCATTGCCAGTAAATTTATTTGTGTAAAATTTTACCGATAAATGGCAATTAAATTTAATTTACTGAATAAATAAAGGTATATATTGAATTAAAATATAATTTATTTATCAATATTTAGCTATTGTAAATATTCAAAATATTCACATCTTTATTACAAAATTTATTTTGTCTATAATAATACATAAAAAAAATTCTCCCTCCCCATCGAATATAGGCAAAAAGTATTTTTGAACTTAATTCTATTGACGTTATGTGGCGCTGAGTTTGTTGTTGACATAAATATGTTATAATACCTTGAAAAAGGTTGGCGTTCAGCCAACTCAAATATTGTTCCTGGTTCAAAATCACATTAATAGGTACCGCTCAACAAGAGCAACCTAGTTCATGATAATTGAAACAGTGAATAATATGTGAAGGTTATTCACATATTAAACAAAATTTTAACGCGGGATTCAATCCCGGTTCATGACTGTCGGGAATCGAGGGGGTTACCCATTCGTCCGAAATATTGTTAAATAAATTATTTTTGATCCAATATATGTCTTGTTAATTAAATATCTATTCCTGGATTTCTTTATTTTCACCAAAATAAAAACTTAATCTTTTATCCAAACTATTTACACATTTTAGCTCACAGAAGAACCAAAGCCTGTCTTTTTGAATCCTTTAAAAATCAATTTAAACATAAAGTTCGATGAGAAAAAATAGTACAAGAGTGAAATTATACTGGGGGATCAGGTGGATAAATTAATAAAAAATACATCTCCTGATTGTGTAAATAAAAGTTGTTGATGGCTTGCGCCATCTGTCGGAATAAATATCAACTAATCGTTGATTTTAGATTATTCCAGGAAAATGGTAATTAGGTTCAACAGCCTGAAGAGCGTAGGTAGTTAGCTTTTCTTGTTTAATATAGAAAGGGTATTTTTGGCCACACACAATTCTCTCTCTCTGGAATAATAAACAAATCAACGAATAGTTGAAATTTATACCGACAGATGGTGCAAGCCATCAGCAAATTTTATATACACGATCAGGAGATGCCTTTTTCTTAATAAAGAAGAATGTTAATTATATGCAAATATATTGCGCATGTTTTACATATTCATTGAAATTATATGCAAAAATGTGTTTGTTTTCTACAAAGACAATAGCTTCTTTAGTTATATTCCCGGAGATTCACTGTCCCCTTTGTCAAATGTATTGACCATTTAGGACTGAAGGCTGCCCTAACTCCGGTAGCAAAATGAATAAAAATGGATTGAGTGATGTGCTATTATTGCTAACTTTTCTGATTATATTTAGAGAGCTGATGGTAGAACGTCTACTGAAAAAGTGGTGTAGCGATCCCCTGAGTTGCCATCGGTGTCAGGATCCTGCCAGGGGCCTGAATGTACAAGATGTACAGGAATCATGCTAGAACGTCTGCTGAAAGAGTGGTGTAGCGACCCCCTGAGTTGCCATCAGTGTCAGGATCCTGCCAGGGGCCTGAATGTACAAGATGTACAGGAATCATGCTAGAACGTCTGCTGAAAGAGTGGTGTAGCGACCCCCTGAGTTGGCATCGGTGTCAGGATCCTGCCAGAGGCCTGAATGTACAGGATGCAAAGGAATCATGCTAGAATGTCTGTTGAAAGAGTGGTGTAGCGACCCCCTGAGTTGCCATCGGTGTCAGGATCCTGCCAGGGGCCTGAATGTACAGGGTGTAAAGGAATCATGTTAGAACGTCTGCTGAAAGAGTGGTGTAGCGACCCCCTGTGTTGGCATTGGTGTCAGGATCCTGCCAGAGGCCTGAATGTACATGATGTACAGGAATCATGCTAGAACGTCTGCTGAAAGAGTGGTGTAGCGACCCCCTGTGTTGCCATCGGTGTCAGAATCCTGCCAGGGGCCTAAATGTACAGAATGTAAAGGAATCATGCTAGAACGTTTACTAAAAGAGTGGTGTAGCGACCCCCTGAGTTGCCATAGGTGTCAGAATCCTGCCAGGGGCCTGAATGTGCAATATGTAAAGGAATCATGCTAGAACGTCTACTGAAAGATGATGTAGCGACCCCCTGTGTTGCCATCGGTGTCAGGATCCTGCCAGGGGCCTGAATGTGCAGAATGTAAAGCAACAATGCTAGTACGTCTACTGAAAGAGTGGTGTAGCGATCCCCTGAGTTGGCATTGGTGTCAGAATCCTGCCAGGGGCCTGAATGTACAGAATGTAAAGGAATCATGCTAGGACGTCTGCTGAAAGAGTAATGTAGCGACCCCCTGAGTTGGCATCGGTGTCAAGATCCTGCCAGGGGCTTGAATATACAAGATGTAAAGGAATCATGGTAGAACGTCTGCTGAAAGAATGATGTAACGACCCCCTGAGTTACCATTGGTGTCAGGATTCTGCCAGGGAATGGCCTGCGAGCCATCAAGCGGAAGAGCCTGCGGAAGGAAGTTCTTTGACCCATCAGACAAGATACCATTCTGTCATAGATCTTGTCACCTGCGAGGCCTGGTTATTCAAGAATTTGTCACCCACATATTGACCCCTGTCACTACGGGAATTCTACACTGATAGACAGTTCTATGTCGCTGGGTCTTCAGGCGAGGCCTGGATGATGACGCCCTGGCCATCCTGACGCCAAGACCCACATCTATAAGTACTTCCTCGGTGTGGAATTGAGGAGTGAAGACCTTGTCTGGAGGAGAACTCTCTCAAGGTGGGGAAGCCTCTCTTTCTGAAGAAAATTGTGCATATACAATTGTATATATTTCTCTACATTTTACCTTCTATTTATCCTATTATAATATTTTACTCTTTATTTTGGGGGTCAGGGGAAGGATGGTCTAAACCGTTGGTTTACGACCGCTACGACCCGGCTTCGATTCCCGCATTGGGCACTTTTTTCTGATTTACAAAAAAATGCTCCAATGGTCCCTGATTCTTACAAAAGTCCAACCCCATCAGCGAGTGCAAGTAACCAAACGGGGCTCTGGCACATTTGTAAGTGCAAAGTCGAACTGTTTTCACATGTGTTGACATGTGGTGTACTTACAGTAAAAGCAGTCGCCTACTTCTACCCACCATGATTAGCATGGCCTGTACCACGTGTACTAGAAATGAGCAAAAAATAAAAACTCTTTATTTTATCATATTTTTTTCTGTGACCATTGATTATAAAAATCAATAAAATTGTTTGAAATGCCAAACTTGTGTAGGTATGATAGTGGAAGGTGCACAATCTCGACCTACCAATAAGATTTCTGACCGGAACTCTGTCAACCAGGGGCGATTAACAACAACAGGGATGGAGATGCAAAGTACCTTCTCGATTTTAGGATATGGTGTACGTATATAAGTAGAATGTAAAATTCAAAATAACCATCCCCCCTGAGGAGATTGACAGCGCGCGAGAATTAAATAAATAATTCTATTTTTTTCTAAAAAATATATCTATATCGTTATTATATCTGTGACTCGCTTCTTTTTTCGAATTAAACACACAAATCATCGTGTTGATATATATACAATCAAAATTACTTTCTTATAAGGATCAGTAACTCCAAAATGGAAAACATTTCAAACTACTTGCCTCGTCAAGCTATCACTAAAGTCGTCCTATGTTCATAAAACACGAACCGTTTAAATCCATCAAGAAACTGGGTTCAATCAGCAAGGAAACACTTTAAACTGGAGGGAAGGAGCCTCTAAATCATAGGTTCCCAAACTTTTCAGAACCACCGCCCATTTCACAAGAAATAACTTTTATCACACCCTCTCTCATTTGTAAGAGTTTTCCTCGTTCCAGCCGTTTAACATTTTCAACATACTTAACGGTATGTTCGGGTGCCGTTAAACTTTTGAAAAGTAGTTGTCATTATGTGCTTCATTGATCTTTACGACTATTCAACCACGAAAATCAGCAACATCAACAACAAAAGTCGTCCCATACAGGATTCTCCTAGATGGGTAAACAGAAGGAACATTTATCTCAGAATGAGGAGATTAACATCAATCTTTTCCCAAGTTGATTCACTCTTCCATGTTACGCCTTTTGGACTGTGCTGTTCTCCAGAATTTGTGAAAAGCCAATACATTGGTCTTGCGCGACTTACTCTAGCCTAAGAGTATTTTATTGACTACGGCGGGGATGGCTGGTTAGCAGTGTGATGTCGCCTTTCGACGTCCACAGTGGTGTCTCTTTTCCAGCGTTAGCAGTTAGAGATTTAATGAAGGTGGCTTACAAAATAAGTTTTTGTTTATTTAAGGAGTAGTCACATTTTTGAAGGAGGTCACGGATTGTCGTGAATCTTTCGTAACTCATGACTTCTTGGTAGCTATAACTTTATGCTGAGAGCTACAAAGAAATATGGAGTGAGAATCAACAACTGGGCAATGTAAATCTTAATGGTATTCTCAACGATCCTACAATCATAGACAAAACTTATGGAAGTGGAAAGTCTTGTGCTCGCCAGTCGTTTGCTTATTTGAAAGAGACAGAGGCA